GGTAGAACTGAAGACGACAGTAGCCATGATTATGATAGTTGGTGAAATAATGGTTGAAATGGTACAGGTTGATTGTAAACACCTGACAGATCGCACACCGGGAACGACATGCAGAAGTCGGACTGAGATTCTTCATCGTGGACGTAGTTGGCGAGGAGCTGCACAATCCGTCTGCTTCTGTCGATGATCTGGGCTTGTCTCCCCGACTCTTCTCCCCGACTGATCATGCCAGTCAGGTTTTATAGATGGGGACATTACGCCACGTTGTGCAAGATCACTGACATATGCACATGTACATACGTAAGGTCCGCCGACGCAGGGAGGTGTTAATTGACTTTTACTGATAGCATTGAGAATATAGCATCCTCCTCGGTGTGTGCGTGTGTGTGTGTGCGTGCGTGCGTGAGTGCGCGCGCGCGCGCGCGTGTGTGTGTGTGTTATGATAAGAGGGGATACACCGAATGTTTGCTGAATACATTAAACAGACAAGAGAGATGGGATTTCGGTGTACATATTAAAAATGGTTTGCTCTATGACGGATTCAAACAAACGGTGGTCATCACCGACCAACCTACCTTTCTCCTCACATAATAATAGGGGAGAAACTGACATAATGGTAAAGACAGCATCAAACCTACATCACACACCTACCGTATGCTATGACTCGTGTAGCGATCAAGTGTAGGATTGCACCCATATATGCGAAGGAGCAGGTGCATACAGGCGAAGACTCACTGTGCTGACTGAGCACCTCCCGTTGCATTGCGGCACACTAGCATTACGTAGAATCTGAGAATCAGAGAAAACATAGATATGCAACACCTGTTTTGTGATTTACCCTGTGATATTCAACTCTCTATATTTCATTACTGAAGAGGCCACAGGCCTATAGTACAAACTATAAAAACAATAATGGCATACAATCACAATGTTTGCAAACGTTATTTTCTATGTTCAAAAGCATGGTGGATATACATACCAAGTTTACGAACATAAGTTGTATTATTAGAGTTCATTATCAAATTAAATTTAGACATGGTAGGATGTGAATAGCAATTTGCACAATCTGTTTTCTCTTGAAATATTAAAATATCCGCCCTTCTTGATCATAAGACCATGTGAAGAGCATCTAAATCTGGATAATGAAACGTGGAATTTTCTAAGATTAATATCGTGTAGGTATTGCTCTGTATGGAAAAATGATTTAAAAGTACTATAAAAAGTGGATTTGGGCGACTGTATTAAAGATGAGTTCCAGGTCTGAATGTACATATCTTTTAATCTTTGCGATAAAGCATTATAAAATGACTTTGGGCAGGTAATCTTTTGTGACAAAAATACATCACTAAAACCATAATGATTTAGGAAATTTCTAACATTCGTTATCCAATTTGATTTTCCGTTGGTGTCAAACAAATACATCATGTTATAACATGAACGCCTGTGATATTGCCAGTATTACCTGCAGATATGGTAATCTCCAACATTACCAATGTGATACTTATGACTGCCCGGGAATTATCCTTTCAAGCTTGGATAATACTATGCCAACAGTTGTGGAAGTGTCTAGAACACCTCAAGGAATAGCAGTATTCCAAGGTAACTTACATACTGCTGGATATGAGGCTGTTTATGACACGTTGTGTGGTATTGTAAGTTGTTCACTGGTCACGAGGGGGGCATGGGCTGATGTCGAGGGTACATCAACCCATGCCCCCCTCGTGACGAGTGAACAACTTACAATACCGGGCTCAGGGAACATAAACAAACATCGAGGGTACATCAACCGATGGGCCCCGAGGGACCAGTGAACAACGTAGTTATCTTACCGAACGCCTTAATGTTAATTTTGAATTGTTTGAAGCACGGGTACAAATCTTTTTGTAGCCATCGCTAGATTTTGCTGACAAGAAAAACAGATTTAGAGTTATCTCCCTTCCATCAATTTGCATTCGCAAAACATCGGTAATTTCCGTACATCATACGTGATTCAATGTTATTGGAGATAAAGAATTACTACCAGGAAGTACCAAATGAGTTGCCATTGACAGCGGGGTACATTGAAATGTTACTCGCTTGTAAGCGGGGTACATTGAAAATAATAGAAGAGCGCTCAGCCAATCAAAAAGCGACATTTATGTGTGAGGTAAGATAATAGTACATGCAAAGCTCTATTTCCCTGTGTGGGTGGTTGAAGACTGCTACCAAATTCCACTGATGCTGCTCCTGAGCTGTGAATCAATCCATACCAAAAGTGGCCATGTCGCACCAAAATACGTAATACGTTTATGATGGCCGTTGTCATCTTGCCTGGCATTAGGGTGATAAAACAAGCACTGCTCATTTGATGGTTAGTGTAGCGTGTCTTGGTGGGATAGCCATGCTAAACTGTAGCATGATATCTCACTAAAACTTTAACCCGGAAACTTGCAATGATCTCGAACGCGTTGTAAAATCTAAACCCTCACATTATGTATATGGACGATTTCAAATTGACTGTTTTCATAGATATGCAGATAAGGCCAACACTCATACATGCATACTATAGCAGCTCCATTCGGGGTGTATTTTTTGTCCCGCTTTTTATGGCACAAGTCTGAAAGAAAACAAATGGAGTTTAAGGCAGGTATGGTATAAAACGGACTCACAAAAGCGAACAAACCCCAAATGATAATGCTCAACTAATTCATATTGCTGACGAAATTTCATTCCGCCACGTCGAATAGTGAGTGAGTGAGTTACAATTTAACGTCACCTCGGCAATATTTCATCCATATAGTGACGAGAAATGTTTTACATATACTCTGCATACAAGTAGTTAAATAACGTCATCGACGGACTACAAAATAACTAGAGTATCACAAAAAAAGTTAAAACGTGTTAGCATTTACATTTAAAAGTAGAAAACTATTTTCGACAACACAATGTAAAAATGGGCTATTGATCGCCAACAACTGAAGGTAGATCACCATCCTAGGGACCAAGGGGACTTACAATGCCTTTGCTACCCGCATGGACCCTAGCAGGATTTACACCATCCCTTTAGCTGCTGGCGATTGTAGGCAAATTTAGCCACAATTAAAATGACAATAATACTACGAGTAAAAATGTGGAAGATTAAATTTTTCTTCGACTGTTTACGTATCCTCTCAGGAGAATAATAATTTTTACAGTACTTCAACCTCCGTTGAGGAGCCACGTAGAAGAATTATAACGAACCGAGAATGGCTAGAAACTAGGAGGTATACTAACGGGATAAGGTGGACAGGCTCGCAAGCTTAGTTGGCACGTGTCATCGTATCCCAGATGCGTTGTTCAATCCTCATGATGTTGATCACAGGATTGCTTGGTTCAGATACGATTATTTACTGACCGTCGTCACATAGCTGCAATACTGCGGACTGCAAACAAAACGGAGCCAGGTATAACGGATTTACTTTATGTTGCTTCTCACAAACCTTTAAATGTATCTTAACATTCTGAGATGCATATTTGATGTAACAGGAAAATGCTAAGCTCAAAGCTACCTGCAGCTACTCGTCAAGCGGAAACATTGACCTCTGGATAACCTGGTGCGTTACGTACAAGAGCGTGTGTCGAACTTACATAGCGTGAACTGATGACCTAGGAGAGCTATGGGTATATAAACATATCTCGCCTGTATACAACCCCAGCTGTAATGTGAACTACATAGGAGTACACTATATCATATGAGTCAGCCCAGCCTCGTGGTCTGGAGTCTCGTGATCGTCACCACATACAGCGCACCTTCCACACAGAATGACGGAAAAACCAATGAAAAATACAGCTTGCGTGGAAATAGACAAGCATGCAGATGACTTGAACAAAGTCAGTCAGGCCATTTGGGAGAAGCCTGAGCTGAACTTTAAAGAGGTAAATGCTCACAATGTACTGACAGATTTTCTTGAGAAGCATGGATTTGAGGTTGAGAGGAATTACAAACTGAATACAGCCTTCAGGGCAGTGTTTGGTAAAGACGGAACAGGTCCTCACGTGGCTATACTGTGTGAATATGATGCCCTGCCGGAGATCGGACACGCCTGTGGCCACAACCTGATAGCTGAATTGGGCGTGGCAGCGGGTCTTGGTGTTAAAGCTGCACTTCAAGCTACAGGGACAGGAGGGAAGGTTGGTATAAAGTTTCTTGTTCCGTTTATCGCCAGGAAAAGTAGGTGAGTGATTAAATGTTGTTTCACACCGCAATGACCTGTATCGTATGTCACGGCGACCTGTAAATAAGATGACTGAAGACGGAGTTCCTGCGGAGGATAACAGACACGGGAGCTGCGCCACAGGCTGCAGGTACGGGAGGCAAGGTCATTATGATGTGTAGCAAATTTGGTGAGTGTCCGAATGCTGTTTAAAGCCGTAGCCAGTAATGTTGCGTATCGAGTTGACCTGCAAATATGTGGTGTGATCCTGAGCTACAGGCTTTCACCTGTTTTAACACCACTGTGTGGCTGCCGTACTATGTATTGCCAAGGTCAAAACTAAACCTCGTACTGAGGTTTGGGATATTGCTGAGTGAGGCGTTAAACAATAAACAAATTGTACTGAATGAGTGAGTTTACTTTTACGCCGCGTTTCCAGCAATATCACGGCAGGGGACACAATTAGGCTTCACACATGTGTCCATCTGGGGAATCGAACCCGGGTGATCGACGTGACGAGCGAAAGCCTTAACCACCATTCTACCCCACCGCCCCTGTACTGATTGCTTTCACTGAGTGGGTGAGTGTTAATTACAAAATTTAATATCCATAGCTACATGTGCTAGTGCATTGGTGGATATTAAAACTGTCTACCCTGTACAAGTGGGATGACAAAGTGGACTACTGAATCTGATCAGCTGCATTCACTGCTAACCGAGTTGCTGTATTTGGACATACAGCAACAATGAAATTAAAAGCCTAAATTGACACGGTAAAACAAGATGTAGCGTTGATAAAGCAGTATAGGTTTACGCTATCAAACTCATGACTGTCACTAACAGGTGTAAAATATTACGAACAATGATTGTGTTGACAGCTTGTTGAGACTCCCGTGGTACACTTGACACTTCCAGGTCAATGAGCTATCGGTAAACAAGTACAGACATGTAACTCAAAGGTTATAAGGTCATCGTTGTTATCCTTGAAACAGGAAAATATTATGAGTTCCGCAGGTTTATTCAAGCAAGTGTGCAACAAAACATTCAAAATACATCAATTCATACATAATAATGACATGCAATATTAATAATCAATGATGACCTGATACATATTCAGTCTAAGTCAGGTAATATGGGCAGTGCGTGATATAACAGTGTGTGGACGGTTACTGCTTACAGAAATGTAATACAAACATTTCCTTGAGTAACTACGGTACTCATAAATTACATAACCTCGAAGATCGATAAAACCATGCATGACAATGCATAGGAAGAGTAGAGAAAGGAGCGTCTAACTATGACAGTTACGGTATGTCGTGTCAGTTGTGTTAACTACGGTAAGGATTTTATGACAGTTACGGTATGTCGTGTCAGTTGTGTTAACTACGGTAAGGATTTTATGACAGTTACGGTATGTCGTGTCCATTGTGTTAACTGCGGTAAAGATTTATGACAATTACGGTATGTAGTACCTATTGTGTTAACTACCTTAGGATTTATGACTAGTGTCCATACGGGTATGTATGTATGTATGTATGTATGTATGTATGTATGTATGTATGTATGTATGTATGTATGTATGTATGTATGTATGTATGTATGTATGTATGTATGTATGTATGTATGTATGTATGTATGTATGTATGTATGTATGTATGTATGTATGTATGCATGCATGCATGCATGCATGCATGCATGCATGTATGTATGTATGTCTGTATGTATGTATGTCTGTATGTCTGTGTGTATGTATGTATGTATGTATGTACGTATGTACGTATGCATGTATGTATGCATGTGTGTATGCATGTATGTATGTGTGTATGTATGTATGTATGTGTGTATGTATGTATGTATGTATGTATGTATGTATGTATGTATGTATGTATGTCTGTGTGAGTGCGTGCGTGCGTGCATGCATGTATGTATGTATGTATGAATGTACGTGCGTACATACGTACGTATGTGTGTATTGCAACATCAAATTCCTACTACGAAGCGATCACCGAAACACTAAAAGACAAATTTGACTGGGTATCGTGTCCGTAGTTAGGAAATTGTAATTGAAACCTAAATGCCCTTTGTTGTTAATGCATGAAAACAATGATACTCTCATTTGACGGCACTTACATGTACAACCATTACATCTGCACACAAAACAAATGGGTACAGTACACATAAATGAATAAAATAAATGGTTATTCCAACAGCGTTCCCTTGATCAAATGACTTGTTCAGGAGTGTATCTATCTTGGGTTTTAGTTGACTGTTCTTGGAACACCTGCAGAAGAGGGCGGTGGTGGCAAACTTGATCTCATCAACGCCAAAGTCTTTGATGATGTAGATATTGCGATGATGGCGCATCCATCGCCATGTGTAACGGTGTTCCCCACATGTCTGGCCATTGTGTCGTAAGATATACAACAGCATTGTATCATTCCATCATTGTAACAATCTGTAGTTAACTGTGTTTCATTGAACAGCTTGTGACTGTTTCAGGCTAACTTTATTCACGACCCAAAATATACCAGATTGAAGTTTATTTCATGTTACAAGTTGTAATGATGAATATGTTTACAGACCTGTCTGTCTCCATATTCAGTCCTATTGATTGTACAAACTCCATCACTTTGGCTTCCATACCATAATGGCAAACACCTCGATATGCCAGTTAAACACCTCGTATGCCAAAGATAGTGAATAGTTGTACTGTTTCTAAAGATGCAACATCAAGTTCCATGGCAAGGCGTCTCACGCTGCAGGATTTCCCTGGAAGGGCATCAACGCCCTTGACGCCGCCGTCTTGTGTTACCAGAAAATTTCCTGTCTCAGACAGCAGATGAAACCTGACTGGAGAGTGCATGGTAAGGGAACTACAATCACAATCAGTCAAATCGAAACATTATCTGAACAAATGGGAAGCCGTGATGATTGTTAGTTATCTGAGAAAATATGAAAATTTGAAGGTGTATGCAAAAACGTTAACACAAATATTTTGGGGTTGGGAGTGATGAGGTTCTGATTTAAAAAATAAACAAATGCTATGATATAAATTTAAACATAATTCCAGGATAGCTATGAGTGAGTGAATTAGTTTGGTTTTACGTCGACCTTTAGCGTTATTCCAGCGATATCAAAGCAGGGGACAGCAGAAATGGGCTGCACACAATGTACCCATGCTGGGAGTCGAGCCCGGATCTATCCCCCCTCCCCCACCCCATTCAGAACTGCTTTGAGGGGAATGAGTATGTAAGTGTTTAGCTTCACGTCACTTTTAGCAATACCCCAGCAATATCACGGCTGGGGACACCAGACGCTATGAAGTGAGTGAGTGAGTGAGTGAGTGAGTGAGTGAGTGAGTGAGTGAGTGAGTGAGTGAGTGAGTGAGTGAGTGAGTGAGTGAGTGAGTGAGTGAGTTTTACGCCGCACACATCAATATTCCAGCTATATGGCGGCGGTCTGTAAATAATCGAGTCTGGACCAGACAATCCAGTGATCAACAGCATAACCATTGATCTGTGCAATTGGGAACCGATGACATGTGTCAACCAATCCAGCGAGCCTGATCACCCGATCCCGTTAGTCGCCTCTTACGACAAGCATGGGGTACTGAAGATCACCGGACCTTGACGGGTCGCTATGAAGTGAAGTAAATGGAATATCTGTGTGTGCATGAAAATATGATGCATAAAATGTGGGAAGGGGGACAGCAAAATATGAAAAAAAGCCAAGCCATACCTGAACCTACCCACTCCTTATTATAGATGACCAGTCCGTGAATGGAGAACTGTAAGCTGTTTCTTAAATATTCATTTTGCTTTGGTCTATTGAAAACATACCGCAATTGAAACGTGTATATCTGACGATGATTAAGGAATCATCAACAACGGCGGAGCAAAGCCCAATATCATACCGGAGTTGACGGAATTGGAGTACTACCTGAGGGCGCCCACTGACGCAGAGCTGAACGTCCTGAAGGAGAAAGTGTCCAAGTGTATAGAGGCTGCTGCTACAGCAACAGGATGCACGGTCAGTATGTGTTAGAATCTGGCAGAGCCGTACCAGAATGTAACGCACGAAGCTTACCAGATGCCAATGTTGTTTAATGTGGGCTTCTGGTAGGACTGTACTGATTCTTCAGTCAGTGTTGTGGAACATTTAACAGGGTGTATCGCTGCTGTTTGTCAGGGTATTAACACGCCCGTTGATCAGTTACTGTATCTGGATCGGTCTAAGAGATGTCTGGCTGGATACAAAAACACTGATTGGTCTGATAAGGGGTCTATTAATAAATGGCGGGATGATAACTTTGATCAGTTTCCTGCAAAGACAGTCATAGATGGTTTGTATCAAAATATATGTTCATTTCCTGGACAGACCCTAAAAAAGTGTTGACGCTGTATCTGGCAGTATATGCCTTGTCAGTGACTCCCAGAATGTTGTAATGGTGTACTGAAATGTAAAGGTTTGTTCATTGAATGTAACTGGGTTACATTCAATATGAGCGGGAATGGCAACATGGTTTGGTTGTAGAATGTTCCCAGGATGCACGATAAGTTCCACCTAAATGTACATGGGCATAGCTTTGCATTATGTAAAAACGATGCATGTCTATGAACAGTAACAAAGACATATTAATCAGATGTGCGTGTTAGTGCATTACGTTAATAGTGTATCCTGTCAGCAAAATATGTACAGGTAATTTTAGAATGTTATTTGTGAATAATGAATTTACAGTCATCAAGCAAATTTGATGTTTTCAGGCTGAATGTGATTTTGATCGAGCTTACGCCAACGTTGTGACCAACAAGACTCTGGCCAATGCCTTTGTGGCTAACGCTGAAAGTATTGGCGTTGAGTTTACGCCGCAGGAAAAGCTGGCAGGCCTGGCCATGGGGTCTACAGACATGGGAAACGTTACTTACGTCGTTCCCGGCATCCACCCCATGTACTACGTCGGAGTTAAGGACTGTGTGAACCACACCAGGGAGTTTACAACGGTGGCTGGTGAGATGTCATTACAACATACGACCCTTTAAAACCAATGTATAATGCTTTAAAGTGATTATCACAGTGCACGCGGCTTCTTTATTGAAAGAGGGGGTTGTCACATGAGTTGTTTTGAACAACAGTTACTTTTATCTTTTACCAGACCATGAACGATCCTCACGTGAACAGTAGTTTCAGTATTTGGTGATCACTTGTAGACCTTAATCATAACGTAGATCCTAACGTGAAAAGTATAAGTTTCAGTATTTGGTGATCACTCGGAGACCTTAATCCTAACGTTGATCCTAACGTGAAATGTAAAAGTTTCAGTATTTGGTGATCACTTGTAGACCACAATCCTAACGTAGATCCTAACGTGAAATGTAAAAGTTTCAGTACTTGGTGATCACTTGGAGACCTTAATCCTAACGTAGATCTTAACGTGAAAAGTAAAGTTGCATAATCTGGTGATCACTTGGAGACCCTAAACGTGAAATCAGTGTTTCTTCCTTCACTACCAAAAGCTATTCTTAAAGTTGTTTTTCCGGTAATTGCATCATTGAGATAAATAATTGCGTCGCCCCATCACAATGGATGAAACGCATGAGTGCATACAACCTTAATTGCTTAATTATTCAAAGTTCAAAAGAAATAGAAGACATCTTATCGCCGCACCATTTAGGACAACATAAACACGAACCCACTTTGATTTGGCCGGTACGTATACTCGAAGTACATGGACACGTTGTTCCACACATCGTTTTGTTCTACGTTGATTGGCGGGGACATGTCCAACTAATGATATTAAGAGTCACATATATGTTTAGAGGATGCTTTACATAGATTCATTCAAAGGGGATCTTCTGAGGGTACATCTACCAAATTCTTGTAATTCTATACTAGCCACATAAAGAAACTGTGCACACAGAAAATTCCTTCAGATTGGAATACAACACAGAAAAGACGAAATGATGTAAGAAAGTTATAAGCTGAAGTATCGGGCCTCAACAACATGTCAAAAGAACATGAACAATATCCGTAACGATGACGTCAGAAGTTCAAAATTGAGTAGGGGGCCACACGTCGAAGTCACAAAGTCAATAACGGGTATGACCATCATGCGCGTGAAGCACAGCAGTGCATTGAAGACGCATAGAGGCTACCAAAGGAGCATTGAAGGCCTGGGAAATGGTTTGGGACGTGGTCACTGCCGTGTCCGAGATGAATCACCCGAATCCATCTGTCCTGTCTTGGCGTCGTTACTCGGGGACGCCCAGAACGTGGGTGGTCGGCGACGTCATTAATTTTTGTTTCCATAACGTCTGACCAATGCAGATATCGTGTTACGATGGCATTGGAAATGTGCAGCCTCCTGTTGTTGGCTCATGCCTGCTCGAACCATTCCAATGGCTTCATGACGTTGAGCAGATGTTAATCTTGGCATGATGTGTATGTGACTTCTAATGTGAATTTGTGAAAGTTTGAATGACCACAGATCAAGCTTTCGACAGTGACAGCAATTTCTGAGTTTCACATGTTGTGTGCAGCTGCACGCGCTGCACGTGCAGTAACACATTGCAAGTCCATAGGCCACCATCAATGACGTCACGTCGCCTGGCACCTGCATGAGCGTTTGGTTGTCTCCAATACTTGCTATGTTTACACCTTTATTTATGTATAAAGACGCTGTCTGCCTATCTTTATATTTTCTGTGTGCACAGTTTCTTTATGTGGCCAGTATATTTTGAAGCACGATGCTCTTGTCGATATTCAGAACATGCGTTGTGACACTCAGACAGATACCATGAAAGTACATGGAAGAGCATAATGGATTGCCATCCAGTGGAAACATGTGTTGACATCCTACCTATTTGTGCCTAGGTTCGCCTGAAGCACAGCCCTACACGTTGGACATGGGAAAGGCTCTCGCCATGACAGCTATTGACGTCTACACATCACCGGATATGTTGTCAGAGATCAAAGAAGAGTTTAAGAAGTTTTTCAAAAACTGAATACGCTTTTTGAGCTGAACTACTCACCGTAACCAGAATAAGTATGTTTCCATACTTTTTGTAACAATATGATATTATTGAGTAATCATTTTACGTTATAATGAATGAGTGAGTAAGTAAGTATGGTTTTACGTCTCTTTAGCGGTATTCCATGTCACAGCGGGGGACACCAAAAAATGGGCTTCACACATTTTGTACCTTAAAATGCAGATATACACAATATACAGTATTGTCTACTTCTTTGGTGATGTTATAGGCTTTTGCCATGGTATGTTTGCTCGGATACGCTTTTCAAATAAGGGATTCATCTCGAAAGTACATAAAATACCACATGTTTTATGTATTATGATTAATGTCTTATATTTCACTGTGTCAGAAATATTTTTATACATATTTAGTAAACGCTGGAGTACAGGCGTCTCAAGCACAGCAGTTCACAGTTCTAAATTGCGTTGATTAAGCGTTCCAGAACTCGATAACTTTCCCATTAAGATAATACTACACGATATACTGATGCACTCTGTATAGGCGCGTTAAATCACCCACTAGCTAAATGTGCTGAGTCTGATAATGAAACAAATGCATCTCAAGTTGTCACATGTACACTGATATCTTGTTCGAAACGTGTTCAAGCAGTACTGTAGTTTTCGGTGACGTTAAAGTCTTTGTTTATGCATAATATTCAAGGATCAGGTTTCACAAACCGTACAGTGTACAGTTGAAAATCGGATTTGACCGAGACATTACTGACTTTATCAAAACTGTCAAACAAAAGTTCAAAAACACAACTAAAATACCACTAAAAGATACATATTTACATACCAGTGAACACTCATTTCTGTACGTTGTACAGTCAATATCAGACATTGTCACACTTTCCTGTGATGAACAGTTTATTGTCTAGCAAAATTACCAAAACATGACCAATATCGTGATTGTCACGTCAGACTGAAACCTAAACATATCTCTTCCCATATTCCATGCATCTCTATATTTTGCGGCTGATGTGGACCAAGAAAAGTTACCAACTGACTACTTTTATCAACATAACTGATGTTTTAAGCGCCTGGGTGATATGACGTGATAGAAGACCGTGCACGTCTTCGCTGATGATACAGCGAAATCTAATCACATTGAAATGGTTACCCGCACATATGTGTCAACAACTTACTGTATAAATTTGTATCATCATATAGTGTTGTGTTGTGTTGAGACATCCGTGTAACTGGGTATGCGTATTGTTGTTATGAGTGAGTGAGTTATTATTTAACGTCACATCGGCAATATTGCAGCCATATCGTGACGAGAACATATTTGACATTTAAATGGAATATATGTATATGATAAAAACCTGTCGACGAAGGACAGTAAAACAACTAGAATATCACAATTACAACTAAAACTAGTGTGGATCAGTTAAAACTAATAGCACTATTTGGACAATACAATATAAAAACTGGCTATAGATCGCCAACAACTGAAGGTAGATCACCAAATTAGGGACCATGGGGACTTACATTACTTTTGCTACCTTGTTGTTATGAGGTAAGGTGAAGTGAAATTGGGTTTAACGTCGTGCTTGAGAATATGTCGCTCATATGACGACGTGCATGCGTGTGTATGTGTATGTGCGGCTGCTTGTACTAGCCCAGACTGAAGCTGGTTTTATAGTGCTAGCCCACTGAGATACCATGCCGATGTGAAACATGAATACCCCACTCAGACACATTATACTGACTCCGAGCCGACCAGTGCTTGTTGTACCCATTAATGCAGAGCGCCAGGCAGGGACCAACAAGTACCATATTTTAACGTCTTTTGGTATGACGCGGTCGGGGATCGAAGCCGCGACCTTCCGCTCCCCGGGCGGACGCTCTAACCACTACAGCACGGAGGTGGTTTGTTGTTATGAAGTCAAACGATACTGAGCAGTAGCAAGCCTATATCCAATGTTGACAGACCTTCATAGACACAACTCCATGGTCCCTAGAGTGGAGATCTACCTTCAGTTGCTTTGATCTATAGCCTTTGTTATATTCTATCGTCTTGTATAGTTACAATATTGTAGATTTAATTACTAGTTTTAAAATTATATCTGTGATAAACTAGTTGTTTTGCTGTCCTTCGTTGACAGGTTTTTATAATTTACCTATAAGTATTATAAATGTACAATTGATATAGTCATGATATGGATGAAATACTGCCGATGTGACTTAAAATTTTAATTCACTCACTCACATAGACACAACTGAATGTCTGAATGACTTTTTCAAGGGACGCAACAGATGCATGACCAAGACCGCAGTGGCAAGTAGGTTGTAAACTCTCTTGTGAACGTTAGCGGGAACCAGTTGAAAATACAAATAAAACACATGGATAGCGTAGCGCATATTCCTTCGGAGTGTTTACGTGTTAGTGCTGGTGTGGCTGGTGATGGTATTGATGAAGTTAAGGCAGCTGATGATGATTATGATGTTAATAATGACAATCAGAATGACGTCACAGCCCATTCAGCATACATATGCAGCTTTAACGAGTTTCACGTATTATGCCGGTGAGAATTAAATTCAGGATGTATTGTATAAACGATCTGACATTGTGTTGTCAATTGAATATTTTATGATCATGAAATATATACGGTCAACATGCAGGTTGAGCTGAGCTGTTAATTTAAATCGTTCAAAAAATAATCCTAATAATAGCGATAATACGAATTGTTTGTTCTGCTGATGACGCGCAGAACTCGTTAACGCATTATATATACTCACGTTGGGCTTGTCAACAAAGAACCGAGGTATTAAAGAGGCGAGGCGAGTTGAGTTGAGAAAGATATCAAAAGTGTATTCGTCATGGTATTTGATTGCAAAGAAATAAGTCCGCGTTGACATAACGTCGGCTGGGAAATCAAACTATGTGACAAATGAGTGAGTATGTGTGAAAGTAGGAGAACAGTGACGCACGAAATGATTCACAGCTGTTTTTTTAGTTGACTTAACGTCAAAGATAAATCTTCTCCTTGAAATACCGTCACGTCGGTATCGCTGGAAGGGAGACAACTCGTGATGGATTATCTGCAAGCAACAGCTTCATGGAATGATTGTAGTTCACAATTCAATATAGGATTCAATGCGGACTCTTGGCAAAGATGACTCGACCCACTTCGCCACTGTCAGTCGAATAAAAAATATTGTGACCGACTCCGTAACTCTTCGGAAATTTTCCAAGGATTACGGCATAAAAAAAAGAACACCGAGAAGCTATCGTAAAATGGTAAGTGTCCCCGGCAATACGAAAATATAACTGCACACACAAATATCACTAATGTCACACACACACACGCACGCACGCACACATAAAGAAAGAAAAAAAAGAAAGAAAGACAAAAAAAATGCAAGAGAAAAAAGGAGTGGGAATCGACCAAATTGAGGAGCTACGCTACCCCGACGCCTTGTTACTCGAATTAAACGCGATCGAATGAATCTTTTACATGTACGTACATACAATACCCAACCTTGAAGATCCAGGTTAGTTGATCTTCAGCAAACCGATGCTCGTCGTTAGAGGCTCGCAGGGAACATTTGATGACATGACTGCGTATATCAATGTCCATGAAGCTAACCACTGCCCAGACTCGATGACACTATCCACACAGTGTCTACACAGTGTCTACACAGTCATCAGTATGAAACATTTTAACTGGATATTCGCAGACATATGATCGCTGATTTCTATTAAACTGTCAGTTTGGTGCCTATTTATTGTGTGTGTCATAACGACATTGACAGAACGAAGAATCAAGAAGTCATACCCTTCCCAACATCTTCCCCATATACAAAAGAAAATCACTAGATACGGAGTCTATAGTTAGAATATAGCTTGCGGTTATAGTCAACAGACCCATGAACTATTTTCAGTGGCTACATAGAAACATTTATGCCATTTGATATGCAAGAAGTCTGGGGCAAAGAGTTGTATGAGGACATTACAGCTAGATCAGGTTCAAGACGGGACGGCTTGCAATACATCTCCCACCAGCTTAAAAGTCAGAGTCGGAGTCAGGCCGCTTAATGCGATAGTATTATCTGAATGGAACTGTCGACAAATACATAAAGAACTGGCAACGGAGACATCAAGTCTTGTCTATTCAAGAACCTTTAAATCCTCATATATATTGTGACCCAAACATGTCATTTTGTAGATCTCATATAGGAATTTACTGGGGATGCAATTTCGATTCGGTTCATTGATTGAATAATAAAAAATATAATTAGAATGCTTGCCATGAACACATACAAACCGACATTGAATGACCTGTTCATGTTATTATGTTTGTTAAATTATCATAGTAACAGGTACATGTAGACGGTTTGTTTTGACTTTTCGTATCCCAGCTATTTCTGTGGACCAATCCTTTGACCATCAAACCGATCCGTCATAAGCACAAACAGAAGAAGATGCTTTGTTTATGTTTCAACCTGAACCTTGCAGTTCGATCTGCACATCGTAGGCAATGAGATGATGTGATAAACAAATGTTGTTTTCCATACACCTCCATGAATTTCACATGTTTGTTTCATAATAATAAAAATAATACTGTCCCTTTTGAAATAATTCACTCTCATTCCAATAAAATTTAATGTCTGTTGTCTCACGTGTACGTGGTCCATAGTCCGTGTTTTAATATTGATAAATGTCAGCTCGATTTGTACTGAATAGATTATTTTAGAATTATCAGTGATTAGTTTTTAGACTGTAATTAAGTGATAATGTTTTACCGTGATTCGTGACAGATACAGTACTTGATTTCTTCTCGTCACTATATGGCTGAAATATTGCCGATGTCGCGTTCAATTTTAACACACTCACTCACTCACACTTATGTACACGGCTTGCACACGTTTTATACCTCATGTGCGAAGAGATCACACAATTAATAACCATACTTCTTTATTAAAGAGCATTTAACCGGATCACACGTGGACCGTGCTATCTATGTTATCAGCTGGCCATTGTAAAGGAGCTATCAGTACATCCGTACATCGTTGTGACTGTATCACTGCATTCTGTAAAATCTACTATACATCTCAACAAATGGTTTACCCCCGATACTTACGACTAGTAAAAAATCTTGTAAAAATCTATTAATATGTAACAAAAGTGTTGCTAACATGATTTTACACAGTTGCACAAGTAAAGAATCGACTTTACCTGAAAATGTTGATTTTGATGAGATTTCAGTTGAAATTGTGCAGCAAAGAGTATGCACTGTCTGGCTATGAAACTCCAGATTACTTTCGGAAATCTGCATTCGTTTTGAAGGAGTTTCAAGGTCAAATTACTACGCCACGACACTGAACATCGTTATTGAAAGTAATGTACGCTGGACATTCCCAATCTTCTGTTGCCAGGCGTCTGAATGTTAGTCTGAGCATGATATCACGGCTTGCAGCTCGTTACAACCAAACAGGTATAACCAATGACCGTCCGGGTTCTACATTTGCGTGATCGTACTGCTACGAGTGAGAGCACAACAGCCAGGGTGCCTGGACTTCGGAGGATATCCGGTCAAACTGTACGGAAGAGATTGAGAGAGATTGGACTGAGAGCCCGGAGACCCGACGTCGAGACCATGCTACGTCGTCACCATCCCTTTCAGCGTCTCCATTATCTACTTGGTTTTATAGACATTTCCTTCTTCTAAGCTTATGTAAAATGTCATGTACTAAAGTCTAATTGTGGACGAGTTATGCATGTTT